GATGTTTTGCCTTTTGTAAATGCTTCATAAAAGTTTGAAAATGGTGTATAATTTGTACCCTAGCATAAAATGATGTTTTGGGGTGTTACAAATACTTTCATAGTCTAGTACAGTTAGTAAAGAGCCCTCCTACCGAAAAATAATATGATTAGTATTACGATATTGTAGGGATGAAAAGTTGTATATGTGAAAGGTGAAACATAGTTTAACACTTTATATTCAAGCATTATAAAATTAAAAGAATGAAAGATTAATCTTAGTGTACAAGTAACACTATTATATTGTCACTATGTGTGACAACCTGTAATTTATTCTGTCACTGTAACCCATTTCCGTTAATAAAGCCGTTACGTTCCAATTTTTCTGTTAACTTAGTTTTAAATTAATAAAATTGGGACTTCTTATTTTGACATCATGAGTGTCGGAACACATTAGAAATGCGTGAAAACATCCCAAATATTTATTTGGAAAATTTATAGTTTCGACCACGTCGGGTTACAGCAACTTAATCGGGTACCACCAAAAGCCCCGTTTAACGTCAGTATCGGGTAGATTTCCACCGGGCCACAAACTCAATCCTTATATAAAGGATGAGTGAACTTGAATTTAGCTTTTTACCACCACCTCACAACTTTCTCTCACTACTCTCTCTCTCTAAAACTCGAAATTTAGCCAAAATCACCCCTTTCAAGCTTCAATTTGGTAAGTAATCTATCATAGCATGTTTCTAAGTTTGTTTATCATTCAAATTCGTGTTTAAACCATCCAAATGCATCTAGAACATGTGTTTACGATTTGGGAACATCTCCCAAAACCGTAAACTCCTATAAGAGGGTTTTGAAGCCCCAAAACCCCTCCAAATCACTTCTAGTGCTTAGTTAAGACCTTTGGACTTGCAGGAATGGACTTAGAACACCAAAATCTTACCATTTGTGGAGTAAACTTGAGTTCCAAGAATATTCTTGGACCGTAAAACCTCATTCATAGACCATAAACACATTTTACAGTGTTAGTTTGCCCCCTAAACACCTCCAAAAGCTTCCATGAGAGTATAGAACCTTATAATCCTTCAAGAGATGCACCAAAACATACACAAATGGGTCAAACTTGAGTTTACGGCCCAAGAACATTCTTGGACCGTAAACACCCCTTATTAGACCATAAACACCTCAAAAGGGTGTTAAAGTGCCCTTAACACCTTGTATGGCTTATAATTGTACCTAGAACTTTGTGTGCTTAACCTTCAACCACCAAATCACATGAATCATGGACAAACATGAGTTTACTGTCATAAACTCATGTGTTTATGGTTGTAAACTCACCAAGACCATCTTCATAGACCGTAAACTCCTTTTCCAAGGTCAATTCAAGTCCCAATCACTTCCTAAGCCATGGAATCAACTCTAGAACCTTCCTTTGTGCATTGTAATTGACCTAGGACCATCAAAACACACTTAGAATGGGTACATAAGAGTTTACAGCCGTAAACTCCTAGTTTATTGTCGTAAACTCCTCAAATGGTCCAAATGTTGTTAAAGTCCCCTTCCAATGCCTTAAAACTAAGTCTAGCATCACCCCACAAGAGTTATAAGACCATTAAGCAACCAAGAACACCCCCACCATGATTTTACGGCCATAAACTCATGGGGAATTGACCATTGGGCCGAAAACTCCATTAGGAGTTTACTCTTGAAGAGCAAACTCCATATTCAAGCCATATACACCCTTAGATGCTACCTGGGTCACTCCTAACACTTGAAATGAAGTGTTTTTGCGTCTCGGAGTGTATTGTCTTATCTAATTAGTGGTTTAAATTCTAATTAGATACAATAATGTATCTCTTCATGTTACATAGGAACCTCGCGCGTTCTCAAGCCCCGAACTGACACTTACCATCCAACCGACACACTTCTCGACTGGTGAGTTCATACCCCTACGTTTTTCCATGTTTTCAATGTTTTCAGGGGGAATACAAGCAAAAGTACAAGGAAATCTTGTACTTAAACTTATGATTTCATTTGAAATGTTTCATATTTCGTATGCTTTTAACACTGGAAACTGTATTAACCAACCGTTTCAACTTGCAGAGTAAACCGTCAAACTATTTGTGAAACTCGTTTTAAAATGTTATATTTTATATTTCACAAATGAATTTCCATATCATTACAGTTAAAAACATGAACCCTAGAACATTAAAGAGTCCTTGATATCACTCCCCCTAGATACGAGAGTGAAGGACTAACAACATTGAACTTAGAACTTTAACACTCCCTTTAGATACGAGAGCGGATGAACAATAACATTAAACTTAGAACATAGACCAGTCCTTGGTAATACTCCCCCTAGATTCGAGAGTAAAGGACTACTTTTATTCATTAATCTTAAGATTGGAGACACGTCCTTGGTAACACTCCACCTAGTTACGAGAGTGTAGAACTACCCCCGTAACCAGAGTCTCCTTGAGGGAGAGCGTGACTTGAGTGTATAGATCTATACGGGATTGACAATCCCGCACCTGACTGCTAGCTACAGTCGAACCGAAAGGTTCAAGGGTGACAAAAGTCATAAAACAATATTGGCCCCTGTTTCGAGCCTTATCTAGTCTATTGTATGGTTATGGAACTCGCAATTTAGATTATGAATACTTTTATACTTACTTATTAGTTTTATATACGTGTTAAAACTAATGTGCTTTTCAAGGATAACCAGCTTTTCAGGAAACTTCACACAAACATTTAAAGTATGGTAGATACTTGTACATTACTTTCATAACCAATAACCGACTACAAACTTTTAAGGAAAATAAGGGTTTTTTCCTGGGATAACAAACTGTACATAACCAGATCGTATAACAAACAGATAACCAAACTTTACTTATAAGAAAATATGGGATTTTCTTGGATAACAAACTTTTTCAGAAACCAAAGGAAACTTGTTCATTTTCAGAAACAAACCTCTTATGAACTCACCAGCTTTATGCTGATTTTCAAACTGCTTGTATTCTCAGGTCCACATTAGATAGGTACCCGCAATCTTTTGGAGAAGACGGAGCGTTTTAGAAGTCTCGTCTTACTTTTGTTCGAACTATTGTACAGTTAAAACATGTATCACTTTACTTTTAAACAAATGTAATTATTCATAAGTAATGTTTCGTGTTTACTATGCTTACTATGTACATTGGTTGTGATACTTACATGACGTCATCCGCCCCGGAACGTTTCCGTCATCGGTTTCGGGGTGTGACACTATGTCTGATCACTGGTAAGGATAAGCTTACTTAAACAATTTCCTTAATCCATATCATAACCTTACGATTGTCCTCAAACATGAATGAAAACTTTATGTCCTCGACGGAACAGTTCTTGATGATCTAGGTAACAAGGTAATCATAGTTAACATGTACTTGCATTTAGGGGAATCCCAATAATTCGAAGAAGAATATTAACTTGAAGAAAATATGCACTTGCATTTAGAATCTTAAATCAAATCATATTTCATAGTATTCATGTTATAATTCTACTAATCTCTCCCCTGAATAATAGTAGGGTTCGTCTTCAAAAAATATGACATCCACGGAATAATATTGTTTTCTGAGAAATTAAATTTTATCATACCTTTTATGTCTACAAATATTCCTACCCACTAACATTATGACACGTGTCACCATTTTTCCTAATATACTTTTAATAAAATAGTTAAGTAATTATGAAATGATGACACATATCAAAATTTTAATAGGTATGAATATTTGTAGGTACAGAAAGTAGAAGGGAATTTAATTTCTCTTGTTTTTTGGTGGATGGAGAATAACATTTATACTTTTGCTGATTTGGAAAATACCCTAAGAAAACACATTTCATAGAGGAGTTTGTTTTTTGTAAATGTTTCATAAAAGTTTGCAAATGGTATATGCTTTGAACCCCAATATAAAATGATGTTTTGGGGTGTTATAAAGAGTTTCATAGGTACAACTATCCCACCGAAAAATAATATGATTAATATCACAGTATAATAGGAATTCAAACTTATATATGTGAACTATGAAACATAGTTTAACAAATTATGTTTGAGCATTACAAAATTATTAGAATGAAAAATTAATCTTAATGTACTAATATACAAGTTTATTTATTTATGCATCATCATTACAAATTCATTAGAATAAGATTAATTTTAATGTACTAATATGCAACTTTATGCATATCATTTGATAAAAATAAAAAAAAAAAAAAAAATACAACACCATTATATTGTCACTGATCACCAGTAATGATAAGCTTCCTAAAACAATTTCCTTAATTCATATCATAACCTTACGATTGTCCTCAAGCATGAATGAAAATTTTGTCATCGACGGACCAATTCTTGATAATCTAGGCAACAAAGTAATCATAGTTTATATGTACTTGCATTTAGGGGAATCCCATTAATTCGAAGAAGAATATTAGCTTGAAGAAAATATGTACTTGCATTTAAAATCTTAAATCAAATCATATTTCATAGTGTCCCTGTTATAATTCTGAATATATTAATTGGGTTGTTCTACCCCTACCTAGAGAGAAATCTCATTCTTATACTACATGTATGTATGTCAATCTTGAAAAGTCTGATATTGCTTATTCATAGGATCATTAGCATTATCCGCAATGGGGACTTTGGGGACTTTATTTATATCTTGACATCACTTATGTCAATAGATGAGATGTTAAGTTCTAAGTATGTGGATGGATGACAATGTATATTAGATGATAGCACCCATTATAGTTAAAACATTTCTTGATTTGATTAATCATGATGCATCTGATGCTGTTTTGAGTTTCATCACATGTCAATATGTTCATATTCTAGTATTCTACAAAATCAGTAAAGTGTTCCATGGAACTC